ATGCACACGACTCAGAAGGACACGACGTACACCAAGATCTTCGTCGGGGGGCTGCCCTACCACACCACGGACGCCAGCCTGCGCAAGTACTTCGAGGTTTTCGGCGAGATCGAGGAGGCGGTGGTCATCACCGACCGGCAGACGGGCAAGTCGCGGGGCTACGGATTTGTAAGTGGCGCGGACGCGGGGAGGGGGGTCGGCTAGGCGCCCCGCGGGGAAACCGGGGCCCGCTGGGGTGGGAGGAACCGAGTGGCGCTCAGCCAGGGTGATGGTTGTTTGGGGCTCGGCGAGACCGTGCGAAGCACCCCTCGGGCTTGAGCGGCGCTGCCCCTTCGTCCCGGCAGAGCTGTGGAGGGAGAGCTGGTCCTGGCTCCAGGGGTTCTGAGGAGACGGGGCGCGTCGCGGTGTCAGGGGCTGGCGGGGCCCGAGTGGAAGGAGAAAACTGTAACGACTGCGGGATTGGGGATCGGGGATCGGGGATCGGGGAGGGTTGGGAGGGAGGGGCTGCAACCCCACGGCATTGCGCTCCGGGGCTGGAGGCCGGTCGGGCAGCGCGCTGTTGCTTTGTAAAAATGCGTGTGTCTTCTGGCGTTCCGGCTGGGGCCCGGAGGCGACACCCCGGGAGGTCTGGGGCTCTTCTCCCTCCAGCCCCCACCCTTTTCCTTTTAACTGCAAAGATGGGTTCTTTAAAAATATGATCCTATGGCTCTTTGCAGAACTGAAATAGAGCATGTTAAGCTTCCTGGAGATTGACGCGTGTAGATTCAGCTGCTCAAGAGCAGGGAGCTCCCGAGCAGGACAATAGCTATTGTCGTTGGGGAGTGTTTGCGGGTGGTTGGGAGCACAGGCGAATGTGAGGCTGGACTTCTTTTTTAGAGCCAACAGTGCCTCAGGTCCGGTGGAGACCTGGGGGCTTTGAGGGCGGGGTGAAGAGGACCTAGAGGAATTCTAAGTCAGAATTCAGGCTTCCAAATTTTTGCTAGGCCCTGCTAGCACCCTTAAGACTTTGGAGTGTGTGTGTGTGTGTGTGTGTGGTCGGGGTGGTCGGGGTGGTATTTCTTCCTTTCTGTTTTCTTCTCTTTTCTTTTTGGACGGGGGATCAAGGATTAAGTTCCAGGGAGAAAAATAAAAAAGAAAGAAAAAGTTTAAGACACCCCCCCCCTTAGTTTTATCATGAATGATATTTCCAGTGCGATTCTGGTTTCCTTCAAGGGTTGATTTAGAGCTTTGTATGTATGTCTGTGTGTGTATGTTGCTAAGGTCACCATGGCTGACCGGGCTGCTGCGGAAAGAGCCTGCAAGGATCCCAACCCCATAATTGATGGCAGGAAGGCCAATGTGAACCTGGCATACTTGGGAGCAAAACCAAGGATCATGCAACCAGGTGAGAAACAGGGGTCCCTTTGTACCTCCCCTCCCCACTAGAGATGCCCACTACTGCATAGCATGAATCCTCAATTTAGAACATTGGTCGATGTATTTAGTAAAGTTAAACCATGGCTGGTGATTGTGCCATGAGAACCTGTAGATGTATTTAGTAAAGTTAAACCATGGCTGGTGATTCTGCCATGAGAACCTGTTGATGTATTTAGTAAAGTTAAACCGTGGCTGGTGATTCTGCCAAGGCATTAAAGATAGATAAAGGAGAGTTGTAACCACTCCTTTTAGGACTTGAAATATACCTGTGTACAAAAATAAATCTTGGGGGACTGGACAGTTTTTTACACACCCAGACTTGGACATGACTCACCTGTTTTCTGTAGTCAGAGTCCACTCTCCATTTTTGAGTTTTTAGACACTTGTAGATAACTCAGATGTGGATTATATGGGCCAAACTTGTCAATTCTAGCTGGTTGTACTTCCTAACGCAATGTTGTCTCTCCTTTTACCACCAGTTGCCTGGGCCCAAAGCAGGCACTCAGACTTGAACACTGACCCAAGAAAAGCATAGGGGTGCAGGTGGAGGTGTCTGGATGATAAATGTTTAACATAAAGTCACAGGACACTAGTAATTAAAATAGATTTCACATACTCCAGTACCCTCATGCTACAGATGAAAAAACTGAGAAACTCATAGAGATGAGAAATGATTTACTCCAAAGTCACATAGCTATTAACCGCCAAGAGGGAGCACGGTTTTGTCTATGTGAAAACATGATCTTCTGCATTTATAACACTGCCCTTTGCATGAGCACAAATAATTGAGAGTTGACTGTTGAACAAATGTAATCTTTTCTTGAAATTTTGGATATTGACCCTTCCATCCAAACAGATTTACTAGGAAACTAGGTTGTCAAGAAAGTGGGTGCATGAGCAACTACCTATGAACATTTAAAAACATGTATTTGTCTAACACATTGAGTGTAGATATTATCCAGAGAAGAAGGAAAGGAGAGTTTGTTTTGGTGAATTTTTATACTATAATCTGTAAAAGCCATAATCTTCCAAAGCATTGTTCAAAGCATTCCAGAGTGCTCCAAATTACCAAGAATTTTTATAGATCATTATTCAGAATCATAGGAATATTTGTGCATGTAACTTCATTATCAGGTCCTATTGTTGCTTTTATTCCATGAGAATTTTTCCCTGAACTAATTTTCTAAGGTCTTATTCTATGTCAACTAAACTTTGCAGATAATTTTTAGTTTCCACTTGTAGCCTATTAAAATTTTTATTTGGATCAACAATAGCATTAATGAAACTGTCTTTTAAATATATATCTAATATTTTCTCTAAAGTATTAAAAGGATGGTTATCTTTTCTAAGATAAATGAAAGTTGTGATTGCTCTTTATATGTAGGAGTTATAAATGTCTAACCATGCACAAATAGAGAATGTGATATGTTTTGTTGTTAGGTTTTGCCTTTGGTGTTCAACAACTTCATCCAGCCCTTATACAAAGACCTTTTGGGTAAGTCAATTAACAGGCCCTCCTAACTTTCAACTGCTATCATTTGTTAACCTGCTTCTTATATACAGACAAGACCATCAAGCCACAGAATGTTCCTGGTTATACATATTTATATATGTTTGTGTTTTCTTAATGCTGATAACATAAATATTTTTATATGAGTCAAGTTATCTGACCACATATGCAGCCTCCAAACCAGACAAATTTTGAGCTTATGATTAACAAAACAAAACAAAAATACCAGGTATGACTTGTGTACAAGACCGTTGTGTCCCAGCACCATTACTACTGTTCAACTTGACTCAATTTTATTTATCTCTTTCTAACCTGACAGGGCTCGTATACAGTTAAGCTAACTGATCAGAAGGATACCATGATAAGAGGTGGAATAGTTCTGTTTGGAATTAAACTGTAACCAGTAGACTCAGACACACAAGCTCAGATGGTGATTAACGATGCATGGATGTTGGTGTTGTTGTTTTACTTTTCACAATAGTCAATAGACCTCCGTGTGCTTTATTTTATTTATTACAGTAATGAAGTGGTGTTGATAGCTAAACTGTGTGCTTTTTACTTAATTGAAAAGAGCTGTAGTGAAAGTGTTTTCTTTTCCTCGGGGAAGGGGCTCTTTGTGTTTTGGTTTTGGTGGTGGTGTTGAGGAGTGTTGACTTTTGACTTTGCCATGGGAAGCAAAGGGCCTCTTTTTTTTCTTGCTTTTAAGCTGTAGCCTGTGACTTCCATTTAACCATACTTTTGTAGTGAGTGCTAAATCGTGTGATTTCCCTCTGTAAGAATACAGATACATTGCTTGCATGTCCTACGTTTCTGTTTTACCGGGGAGTTTTCTGGGAATGGGGCTCTTTCTTTTGCAATGTGTATCCACTTTGAGGCCTTCTAATTAAAGGTTCAGCAACTCTCATCAGATTTGTTAACACTAGTCAAGTTTTTCAGTAGAGCAGCACTAACTTTCACCTTTCAGCCCTAACTCAGGTGAACAGCCTGCTCATATTTGTGTTATCTCTGGGTTTTATCTCTGGGCTTTCCTCACTTGCGCTCCCTTATTTTCTTTTCATTCAGACATGATGTGGGTGGGAGATCCCCTAACACGTAAATTTATTCTGAACACTTAGAGTCTGTTTGGCTGTATTCTACATGATCAATATTGCTATAACTCTAATGTCAGAGATTTAAACTTCTTTTCAAATATTTTAACTGTTCAAGAAGTGCTTTATCCTCAGCAACACCTTAGCTTAACACCTAAACATCTATATGTGTATGTAGCGTGGAAGGTTAGATTCTGCTTAGATAGATATCTACCTTATGTGTCTCTAAGAATAGACCCCCCAAAAAGTAATAATTTTTTGAAGAGTCAATTTATATCTTTCATGAATACCTTCTTATAACCCTCCCTTTAACATATCAATACTTCACCCTTACTGGCAACTGTTACTTTTTTTAAACTGTGGAAGAGTCTTCTGTCCAATATCATTAAAAAGGACCTTCATATCCATAGCTCTTTATCAATGCCCCATCAAAACCATTCTGGATACTGACAATAATTAGTGGGTTTATTGGTTCAACTATTTGTGTGGGCTCCTCCCCCATCATTGGTCTAGACCATCGGTTCTCAACCTGTGGGTCACGACCCCTTTCACAGGGGTCGCCTAAGACCATCGGAAAACACGTATATAATTACGTATTGTTTTGTGATTAATCGCTATGCTTTAATTATGTTCAATTTGTAACAATGAAAATACATCCTGCATATCAGATATTTACGATACATAACAGTAGCAAAATTACAGTTATGTAGTAGCAACGAAAATAATTTTATGATTGGGGGTCACACAACATGAGGAACTGTATTAAAGGGTCGCGGCATTAGAAAGGTTGAGAACTACTGGTCTAGACTATGTTGAAGAAGGGATTGGGAAGGAAAACATACATCTTAGGAAGTGATGGTGAACTTAGTCATGATCTCACACTAATAATCTTGAAACAGTTATACAACTGAATTGATCAACTTGTATTAGTATGTGTTTATTTTTCTCTGTGCTAAGGGTGGTATGAAATAAGGACATTGCACTTTAGTTTGAGAACTCAAACAAACCAATCGGAAACTTGGTTGCTAAGATACTTGGTATTGTTTTCAGTACAAAAGGAATTTAGAATAGCAAGAAAATAGGTGATTGGAGGAGTTGAACTAGGCTTTGTGGGGACTTGAACTAGAACTAGACTTGAACCAATAGCTATATCCTAGACAGGTAAAAGGAAGAATGGACATGTCTCAAGGGTATAGGATGAGGTGAGCATAAGCAAAGGCACAGAGAAAAGGCTCAGCATGAAGAATGTTTATGGAGGGTCTTGAGAACTAGCCATAGAAATCTAGACTGGTTGTCAGAGTCCTTCTAGTTCTTCAAGAAAGCAGCATGAGGAATCTAGGAGCAACCAGAGTGAATTGTGTCACCTGGAAGTTTGAGATCAAGCATGTTTTGATAGTAACCTTTTGTTTTTCATCTCTTTTAATATTAGCTGTCTTTTATAAAGGATGGTGATTATTACTGTTTGCATAAATTGTTTGAACTTGAGATTCTTATTAAAAATAGATAGCATTCCAGATGAACCAAGCCAGCCTTCTCTTTCTTTTTTAAGGGGTTCTCAACACTGCTCTGAGTCCCAGAGTCTGTACCTAACAAATCACACCTGGTCATCCTGAATTCTATTTGAATGCTACACATTCTTATTTTAGGCCTGGAAAGAAGCTTGCGAATTTCTTATTTTATTTGACTTATTTGAAGTTCTAGTAACTGAACTATTTCTTCCTAATTGTAATTCTTAAATGGCCCCCAAATTACTCTGGGCCTTTAAAGAGAAAACCTTGGCCTAAAGAATTTCTGATGTAACACAGTGGGTACATGTATAGAAACTTGTGAATTTTCTGAACAATATATTATAAATATTTTATGTTTGAAAGAAGCATTTTCTTATTGAAACCTTGGAGAAGAGAGAATGCAGATCTATGAGCAGAAATGTCTAAGCTAGTTTAGTCAGGCTGAAATATACTTAAACATTTATTCAATATACCTCTAAGTGCTAAATTTTAGGCTAGTTGTGTTAACACCATACTGGGTATTATATTGTCCACTAAAAGGGGCACGAGGGACAATAACTAACATTAACTGAACATCTGCTACATGCCTAGTACTGATAAGGGATTTAAATAAATTATATAATTTAATTCTCACAATAATTATTTGATGAAGGCACTGTTAATGTCCTTCCCATTGGGTGATAAAACTGAGATGAAGAGAGGTGAATTAACTTACCAGGGCTAGCAAGTGGTAGAGTCTGACTCTAGGTTCATAATCATGGTTTTCCCGACCTTTCAAAAGCCATGTTCTTTCTTCTGTATCAAGTTGTAGACAATAAGACCCAACTTTATTCTCTCTTGTAATCTAGTAAGAAAACTTACATGCACCCATAATGGCTGTTCCTGCATCTTCAGATAAGGGAGAGAGACATCAGGTTGGTGGGATCCAGAAAGGAGGTAGAAGTTGACCTAGATTGTAAAGGGTGGTGGATGATAAGGAACTCTTACTGAGTACTTAGCTATCTTCATCATTGTAGGCTCTTTACATAATTTTATTTAATGCACAGCAATTCGAGTTGGAAATATTGGGTTCATTTCACATATAGTAAATATATGAGATTAAAAGGTTGAAGTGAATTCCTGAAGACTCTACACCAGCGGTTCTCAACCTATGGGTCGTGACCCCTTTGGGGGTCGAACAACCCTTTAACAGGGGTTGCCTAAGACCATCAGAAAACACATATATAATTACATATTGTTTTTATGATTAATCACTATGCTTTAATTATGTTCAATTTGTAACAATGAAAATACATCCTGCATATCAGATATATACATTATGATTCATAACAGTAGCAAAATTACAGTTATGAAGTAGCAATGAAAATAATTTTATGGTTGGGGTCACTGTATTAAAGGGTCGCGGCATTAGGAAGATTGAGAACCACTGCTCTACACGGAGTGGGTGTAGGAGCTAGGGCAGGTCGGATTTGGATTTCAACCAGTAGAGAGGATTTCAACCGGTAGAGATGGAGTGAGGATTGGCATCGCTGGCAAAAGGATGGCATGAACAAAGGTGAGGACCTAGGAATGTGTGGTATCGCGAGGAAACATTGAGGAGCCCAGCTGATTTGGGTTAAGGGGAAGGTGGAAAGTAATCCTGAGAGAAGTATTTTGGAGCCAGAATTATTAAAGGTCTAGCATACCAAAGTTTAAGAAATTTGTGCTTAGGAATGATGTGAGGGGCCATAGATTACTAGAGCAAGCAAATGAGATGAAGACTTTGTAGTTTTGTGATAGATTGGAAGAGGAAACCAATAGGGATGTCAGAGGTCACAGAGGGACCTGAAGAGATAGGAAGAAAAGGAAAGCATAGTAAAATTTCTTTCAAAGTTGCCCGAAGTATCTGCTATGTTCTCATGCTTTTGTAACTGCTAGGTTTGTACATTCTATGATTAGTTGAGGGGAAGTATGTTGATAGATATTTAGTAGGAGGGAGATTCTCAAATTGCCTTACTGGGTTCCCTAGACTATGAAAAGAACTCGTAATACAGGGATTTTTTTTCAGAAGTCTCACCTTATGTTTTAGTCCATTTCTGCCTTCCTTCCTGAACTCAGATATTTTAGACTCTACATTGTCTTCTGGATTCTCCTTTCTCTGAGTCTTAAAGGACTCCAGGATTTCATTTGTCTTCCAAACATCTTCCTAACCCATACCAGACTTCATGTAGGATTCTGACATTCCAAGGAACTTTGTACTCTCATAAGTACATTATCAAATAAAAACTAGTAATATAAAATAAATGTAGAGACAAGAGTCCTGTAAGCAACCCTGCTTATCTTTTAATGCATTCTTCATACTGATGCACACACACAATTTTCTCCTCCTTGCTGTAGGCTAAAGTTATTTTCAGTTAACACCTTTATTTGAAGATACAAACCTAGCAACCATCATGTTATGTTGTCTTTAAAACTTTGGGAGTCCAGGGGTTAATGTTTCCATATCAGTGAGCTTCATACTGGCTGGCCTTTGCAGCTGATAGATGTTTTACTTTGGCCTTATAAAGACATTTTACCCACTGGAAACCCTTGTCGCATGACAGGATCAAAAATAGCCCGGCTGCAGCCCCTGCTGTCCATCACCACATGTAAACTGGCATGAGTGTAGGCTCTCTTAGCCGTGTCCACACATTGGCGGCCTCCAGGGACAGTGTTTTATAAAGCCACACCTGTCGCTGTGAAGGAACCAATCACCTGACCTACAGAGGCGTTTTAAGTGTGTGCATGACCATGCGTCTGGTGTCTGACAAGCAGTTCAGCACATCGCTGAGTGTCCTGAAAAACCCTTGATGACGTGGTTTCCCCTGGCACTGGGAAAGATCTACAAGTCTAGTAAATTTGAGTGTATTTTTATCATTGGGGTCAAAGTTCAGTACCCTCTGTGATAAATTCATCTTTTCCATGGATGTTCGTTAATGAGTGTTTTCAGTAAAACTCTGAAAAGGCAAAGAAAAATCTGTTTTTGAACATCTAAACATGAATTTTTCTGTTTTGAGTTCTTTAAAATTTGAAGATTGTTATTTGTACTTCTTATAAGTTGGCTTTGCCAGCATCCAGATGGCATTATAGTGTCATATTTTTAGAAACATTAAGGGGTTTTGTTGGAGATTATTTTAAAGAAAGATGAAATAAACCAGATGTTCATGGTAGTATTTTAAATGGACAGTAATGAATCCCAAGAGTGAGAACTGAGATGCATGGGTTTTTAGGAATACCTCTTTTGATTTAATTTTTTTAATGAATGTTTAAGTAAATTCATTGGAGTGTGTTATGTATGTGATCTCTGAATGTATAATTTTAAAAGGTATTTGATTGTGTTTCACTTTCTTGAACTTTTGCAGGATAATATATAACAGTAGAATTGATTCATATAAAATATCTACTTACAGGCAGAATTAAAGCAGATATGCTAATAAATCTATTTCTGTTGATTTGGAGGATAAAACAAGAATTAGTACATATGCAAAAAAAATGTTTCCTTACTCTATTGTGTAAACCTTTTAAGTTTTATTAATTTTGGAAATATTTAGTTGTATTTCCCTGTCCCTGCCTTTTCCCTCAACCTCATCATTTCCCCAAAATCCCTTCTGTCTGTCTTGCATAGAGATAAACAAGCTGGCTGACCTTCAGTTGCCTGATAGTCAAACAGGTTTGATTGACCCTTGTGTCCTTATGAATTTTATGGAGAGAAAGAAAGAAAGAAAGACAAAAGCGTGCTGCACCTCTCTTTCAGATCACTGCCATGAATGTTAATAGCATTTCTGTAGCTTCCCACAACAGCCTCTTGTGATAGAGTGAGCTGCACTACAGTTCGTTTGAGAAGTGTGATTCTGCTGTGTTTACCACACTTGTGAACTTTTAAACTCCTTTTTTATTTTGTCGCCTGCTTCTTTTTTATTATTATTTTTAATAAGGGTGACTGAGGTTGCAGAGAGATTAATGTGTGCTGAGTCTGCATAGCAATTTGAAGTAGGGTTGCCATGATAATAAACATACAGATTTTGTTGAAATTTTTGTTTTGACAAACCAGCCATCACCCCCTGGGAACTGAATGGTCATGGATTACCTTTTGAGTCCTGTGTTCACAGCTCAGAATGTTTCTATTTGCCAAACGGTTTTGTTTTGTGAACTCATTACAATTTTCTCAAGTCTTAATCAATTAAGCATTTATTAAATACCTCTTATGTGCATAGCCCTCATGAACCTGGATTTATTTTCCAAACTTTTGCTAAATGATATTTATTGGATCTAAATGATTGTAAACAAAAATGTTAGCAGAGAGGGTATCATCATATTTTGAGAGCTGAATTCCTTTGGGGGCACTCCCTGACTTTGGCTACCGCCAGAGGACTTTCACGGACCCCTGGAAAGCAGATATTGTGGCAACCCTATGCTCATAATAACCACTAAATTTGAGTTTGTCGTATTTCTGAGCAAGCAGTGCTACAGATAGAAGGCAACTACTGCCTGACTTTGTTTTCCATTTCTCAACAGGATACCTGCCCACTATGTGTATCCACAGGCTTTTGTGCAGCCTGGAGTGGTCATTCCACACGTCCAGCCGACTGCAGCTGCTGCCTCCACCACACCTTACATTGATTACACTGGAGCTGCGTATGCACAATACTCTGCCGCAGCTGCTGCTGCCGCCGCCGCCGCCGCCTATGACCAGTACCCCTACGCAGCCTCTCCAGCTGCTGCAGGATACGTCACCGCCGGGGGCTACGGCTACGCTGTGCAGCAGCCAATCACCGCCGCGGCACCTGGGACAGCTGCCGCCGCCGCTGCAGCAGCTGCCGCCGCAGCAGCGTTTGGCCAGTATCAGCCTCAGCAGCTGCAAACAGACCGAATGCAATAGACCAGCCATCTGATCAAAGTTGAATTGTTTTCTCTTTCCCTCCCAATTTCCCCAATTTTTAGTAGCTAATAAGAGTTAACATTAACAGCTTTAAAAAAAAAAAAGCTATGCTTTGTGAAGCAGAATTATTGTTATTTTTATACTCCAGTAGTGTTCTAGATGAGAAAGAGGTGAGAGAGAGGGGAGTGGGCGCAGTTTTGGAAACCAATCCCAAAGAGCCTGAGGAAATGAAAGGCCGCTAGGAAAGGATGGCGGAAGTAACAATGGAACTTCACTTTTATAATGGGATTTTTATTTTTGCTCTTTTTATAGTATCAGGGAAGCAAACTGCCTTTTACAAGTTAGAAAATGCTATTTGAATCTTGTTGAACCAGGGAATACAGAGTGAGCAATACATAGCTTGAATTTCATTTAAAAGCAGATTTTTTTTTTTTAGAAAAACAAAATGGTGAAAGCACTGATTGTCATTTTTAAGTTGCTATGGCCTATAGAACTTTTTCAAGTAAGAAGGTAATGTTCCTACTCTCTCAAAAATGGGCATCGAACAATCAATCTAGGAGCGTGGCAGTGGGTAAAATGGTGGACAGGCACCAAAGCTATTTTCTCATCTATCCTGTGGATGAGTGGGACTGTGGAACAAGTGATGTGGAATTAATGGGTGCAACAGCTGTACAGACAATCAATAACATGCACAGTTCTGGAAAGAACACATCACTTGTGCTTGTTTGATGAGCTTGTCACATTCTAATCCCTCTCCCCATCCTGTTTCAATTTTGGGAAACTTGTATCTGCTGGTGTCAGCAATTCTGATTGATTTTCTTTAAAAGCAGATTTTTTTTTTTTAGAAAAACAAAATGGTGAAAGCACTGATTGTCATTTTTAAGTTGCTATGGCCTATAGAACTTTTTCAAGTAAGAAGGTAATGTTCCTACTCTCTCAAAAATGGGCATCGAACAATCAATCTAGGAGCGTGGCAGTGGGTAAAATGGTGGACAGGCACCAAAGCTATTTTCTCATCTATCCTGTGGATGAGTGGGACTGTGGAACAAGTGATGTGGAATTAATGGGTGCAACAGCTGTACAGACAATCAATAACATGCACAGTTCTGGAAAGAACACATCACTTGTGCTTGTTTGATGAGCTTGTCACATTCTAATCCCTCTCCCCATCCTGTTTCAATTTTGGGAAACTTGTATCTGCTGGTGTCAGCAATTCTGATTCTGAAATAGGATCAGGCTTTTACTACAACAGCCTTCTCTTTCTATTTATTGTGTGGACTCGTGGCTTATGATTAAAGGCAGGCAAAGTTTGCAGACTCTAAACCCTTAAGAATTGTCTTAAGGGCATTTATTTTTTTTCCCTTTTTGAATAATTTTACACTTTTTAGTATCTATTTCAGAGTCCTATTTAAAACTATTTATTAGTGAATACAATACATGAGACAACAAAGTTACTGAGATTACAGTTCTTCAGAGGTAATGATAATGTGGTTTATACTGTGCCTTAATAGTAATGCTATTTAAGATAATTTATTTTTAAGTTTTACTATGCTGCACTCTAAAGGAAGGAACTTTAGATGTGACACTGTAAAATTATGTATTCATCTCATGGCATAAATTATTTAGTAGGTCTAGATGTAGCATATTAAATATTAACCTATTCAGCTAAAGATGTTGACTTGGATTTATTTAAATTCATATGTGCACTGTATAAGAGAGTACTCTTACATGAACACATTTTAGTTTTTAGGTTTTAACAAACAGGCTATATTGCTAGTTTCATGCTTCCTTCTCTAATTTTTGCTAGTGTAGATCTCATTTATTGGTACTTCATTAGTTTAACACTATTCTCATGTAGTTTATGTAGTTTTTAAATGCTGCTTTACATTTTTCTTCTGAAACTGCAATACTTGCAATTTTTATTCTTAAGCTAAATTGAATACTATTTTACACTGTATTGGATTTTTATACTTGAACAATTTCATACAAGGGAAGACAGGTTAGCATTTTTATGGACTTTCTCCATTACCACTGGATTTACTTTAAGTATTCCCATTCTAGACAGTGTTATGTAATGTAGACATGACTCTCCTGTGCAGATTATTTATTCATTATGTACATTGCTTTATAACATTTCAGATCTTCTCATCTATTCACTTGTATTAAATATAATTTTTAAAAACTCCTGTTGCATTGATTGTTTCTAATTTTTCATAAAAGTAGAATGATTTCTCCTTTTAATTAGAATTAATGGCCATGATTTACATGTAACAATTTCAGTGAACAGAAAACTTCCTGGACACCCCATGTTTATACCTTTTAAGTAAATTTTATTAACTCACTTATTTACTTTATACGTAGCAAATGACATAAGGTCCTTCCCCAACAGTAAACTCTCAAAGACTATTCATGTCACTGCTACTTGGTTAACTGAAGATTGCTGAGTGGGCTATAGAGGGAGCACAGTGATGCTGGGAGCAGGGAAACTGAGGTTTGGCACTAGGTTGTACCACTTTCTAACAATGTGAATGGAACAAGTTGCTTTTCTTTTTTAAAATTGATTGATTGATTTTTTTAAAATTTAAATTCTTTATTGTTTAAAGTATTCTATATGTCTCCTTTTTCCCCCATTGACCTCTCCCCAGCCTCTCCCACCCCCCACCCCCCAGCACATGCCCTCACAGAGGGAGAAAGGGAGAGAGAGAGAGAGAAAGAGAGAGAGAGAGACATTGATTTGTTGTTCCACTTATTTATGCATTCATTGGTTGATTCTTGTATGTGACCTGATGGGGAATCTAAACTGCAACCTTGGAGTATTGAGATGACACTCTAACCAACTGACCTACCAAGCCAGTATGGAACAAGTTGCTTTTTGTAATTTGTTCTTTGGATGAGGTTTTTATTTATTTCTTATCTATAAAATTGGGAGTAATACCTGTCTCACATGGTTATTTGAATATTAAATAGATTATATCAACTACAAGTTCCAGAAGGCTGTTTGAGAAGTGATATGTTCGAAAACCAAATCATTTCCCCCCCATTAGAAATAATGTAAATTAAATTAATCTATTCCAGACCCCCAAATGATTCCCTGTTTTAACCTTTCTCAGTTGCCTGATGGTTGTTTCATGAGCATTTTTACACCCTTAGCAACAACAGCACTCTTGATGGCCTCTTTGTGTTTTAAAATTGTGCTAATCATCAATTTCGCCATGCCATACTTGGTAGCCCTATCAGACATGTGAACACCTCTATCATATTTTGCAATTATTTTTTTTAAGCTCCATCATTGTTCTCACAACTTTCCTTTTCACTTTGCTGCTATCACTAACCTTCTTAGGATCCATGGTGACTTACTGTACATAATTTAATAATAAGCAGAAACAAAAGCAAGAAAACACGAATATATTCACAGCACAATTTCCTGAGATATTAACAAGTGAGATTTAGCAGTAAAATGACTCATACTCACACATTCTTTCTTTTGTCACCTGAGAGATGCGTGACTGGTCATACAGGTATCAGCATAAAAAGGGTGTTGCATCAAGAACCAAAGTTTTGCTTGACAACCAAGATATTTTTTTCTGTGAACAACTTGGTCAAGAACCAAATTGTCCAAGATGGTAGTCATTCAAGAAATGAGGTTCAACTGTACTTGGCACAGAGCCAAATATATGGTAAGCCCTAGGTAAATGATCATTAGTAGCAGTTGTAATGCCTGGTAGTGACAACTAACAAAAAAGGAAGTCACCTCGTAAGACATTACCATTTTTTAAATTTTTTCCACTCTGACATGGCAATACCTAACAAGGTGAGTACTAGAACATCAAATGAATGCCTGTCATATTAATTGTTTTAAAGTGTATATAGTATGTTATCTTAATTATGGAAAGGATTGCTTGCTGGTCTTAATATTTTCCAAATCTATGACATATCTTTTACTAAGTCCATCAGTTTTCAAAAATTATAAACAGCAGAAAGTTTTGATAACAGATTCTATCATACTTGCTGCTTTATGATAACTATCTTTAGAGTCATCACAATCTCAAATATTAAGTGCCTTTAATTTTCCAAAGAAAAATGATACCAGCTTTTCCCTAGGGAGAGAGATTATTGTACCCCAATGTATTATCTTGCATTGGTAAAATAATTTCTAAGCTATTTAATTTATTCAATGCATCAATGATTATTTTATGTCAAAGGACATGCTCTACATTTAACTGTTCAGATCTATGCAAGGTCACTTTTGTTCTCAATAAGCCATACATTGATTGCTGAACTTTAAAATGAAACATTCTTTGATTTATCAATTAAAAATACGTCAGACATTTCTGGGGAAAGTTTGTCAAAAATAGCCATACCCAGGAAAGCCAGAAGGCTGTACCTTTCTTTGAGTATTTCCTGATCTATATAATAGGAGTATTAGCAGTAGTAGAGAGGGGGAAGTTTTTATGTTATAGTGCTAAAGCATATATTTCTAAAAATAAAGTTCTTAATACCTAACAGAGGGGAAAGTAGCCTGGACATAATGTTTGCATTGGTCAGGAAGGCTAGTTGTATTTGTAGAGTTAGAAAAGCAATGGGTCTGAGATCCAAAGAGCTGGCTGGCCTTTACTCACCAGCACAGTGATCTTGAACCCTGCTACCCTGGTAAAATGTGAGTTGATAGTTCCCAACATAGTGACTCTACTTACCTCTCAGATTATACTGGTTAAATGAATTAATTTTATGAGAGCATTTTAGAAATTCTAAAGTAGTAGGCAAATGGAAATTAAAGGGAATACACACAATCTTAATTTGGAAATTGATCTCAAGTATCTCATATTAAGTGACTTTTCCAAAGAGGACAAACTTGTATCTTGTGTGGTTATCTTTTTTCTGTCCCAACCAAGTAATAGCTAAACTTACTGTACAACAAGGGCAACACAAAAAATAACATCAAAAGATGGAGTGATTGCTCAGATAGGGGAAGGAAGAAGAGAGGATTGGGGAATACATTTCTCTTACAGGGGAACTATATTTAGTTCCTTCCTCACTCCTGTCAAATATTGTTCTTCTTAATTCCCTCTGAGGCTTGAAAGCATTCATTAAGTTGGCAGTCTGAGGTTTGGAGGGGCAGAGGTGAAAAGAAACCAAAAAATAAATAAATGCATTTTCATGCTTACTTTTGTCCTCTCTCCTCCGTTGAGAATTCCAGGCTGTTTCCATGGAAATTCTAGCTTATTTTGCTTAAGCACTTGATACAGAAGAGGTTTCAGTTGGGGTATTTGTTCTCAGTTGAATCTTAGAAGTTCAGGAATGATTTATAGCTAAGTCATTTAAATTCTAGGCATTGAAATCCCAATCGTCAATCAAAATGAGAAAGAAATCACAATACATGTTATAAGCACTTTAGACATTTTAGATAAGAAAAATGTTATACATTGATAA